GCCAGCCACCGCCAAAGTGAAGGGTGCGCCGAAGTCTTTGCCAGCCACCGCCAAAGTGAAGGCCGCGCCGAAGGCTGAAGCAAAGGCCAAAGCCAAATCGTCTGCGGCGGTCAAAGTGAAGGGCAAGCCAAAACCCAAGGCGGCTTCTGTGAAGGCCAAGGCCAAAGCAAGTTCCAAGCAGAAAGCCAAAGCGGGGACTGAAGTTCCTGCAGAGTCTGTGGCAGAAGCGGCAGCAGTTGAGGAGCCGCCAGCTAGTGAGGAGCCGGTTGTCATGAAGAAGCCAGCGACGCGCAGGAAAGCGGGAGCTTCGCCTGCAGGCCCCTGAAACTTTGCGGTCGTTGGCGAGCGGTCCCCATTCCAAGTGTGAGGTTTTGCGTCCACCGGTGCTCTTCTTATTTATGGTCGGTTTTCAATGTTTGTGACAAAGGTGTTCGCTTATCATTTTTGAATTCTACAGTAAGGGTGTTACATGTCTATGCGCTGTCTTGGATGTTGTTTCTGGAGCTTGCTTTTTGAGCCTTGCATGAGGCAACAAGATTGGGAACCCCTACTGGATCAAACACTCGTGCAAGTGGGCAATCAAGATCGATGAGTCGGAGAAAGTTCGAGTGCTATCCTCAGATACCACTGCGCCCCACCTTCCGCCTGTCATTTCCATCAGATTTTTTTACGCATCACGGTAAGACGTTTTTTGATTTCCTCGCAGCTGACCAGGTTGGAAACCGCTATTTGGACAAGGACAAGACCTATGAGATTTGCGAGGACGCGGCCATCGAGTTGCGCAAGGGAAAGGCCTTGGCGGAGGTTCTCAGCATGGTTGCGCCTTGCTGGCATTGACCATGGAAGACCATGGGAAAAGTGTCAGGTGCGCTTCCAAACCGTTTTATTTGGGATAACTCTTCGGTTCGGCGGATCTCACTCTAGAAGACCATTCCCATTCCGCTGAATGCGCCAAAACCAGTCTAGCTCAGCTATCAAAATTCAATGATACGGGCAGCGGTGCCTTAGTTGAAAAGGTTTGCGCTGAGAGGGGTCTGAGGAGGGGCGTCGCTTTGAGGCCGCTCGCGAAGAGGCTTTGCAGCAGCATGCGGCTGCAAGCGGTGGTGAGACTGCCGCCTTTGCTCAGGGCGCAAGCGCAAGTGCCACTGCTGAGGTTGAGCCTGACGGCCCAGGTGATGCAAACGTGGTGATTACCGACTCAGCAGCTATCGCTGATGAAGACGTGGCAATGGCTGGCGAAGAAGGTGAGGAAGAGGCGCCGGAGCATGATGCAAATGTCGACTAGCTGTCGACTGACGATGAAAAGGTCTGGGGAAAAGTAGCTGCCTGGGATTGGGATGCTTGTGGCACTTGTTTTTTCTTATGGGATTGAGTTTGGGGGCTGAGCCAAAGGGGCACACGTTGTTAACTCCCTTTGTACAGCGACGCATGCATCACTGGCTTGCCCCCGAAGAAAGTCCCACAGAAAGTGTCAGATGGTACGCCGCAAAGCATTCTAGAGACCATGCCAGAAACAACGTCAATTTGTCGTTAAATTGAAAGCAAATGCCGCAACATATGTCAGAGACAGTAAAATAATACATGTTGCGCCAGGTGTCTCACGGTTAGGATCGCTCAAAGCAAGGTTTCTTTTTGCTACATGGTTTGTGGTTGTCGGTGGCCTTCAGTCTCAGTGGGGTCTTGACGCAGTGTTTGGAGGTAAGGTGTTGAGAAGGGATACCGGTTGTTGAGAAGTGATTGTCATTTGCAACCGCAGCCATTGCTCGAAGGTCACTTGTTACTGCAGCGGCCCCAGGCTGCCAAAGCGGGCTTTGCTGGTGAAAAATCCGTATGCAGAAATGCTCGTGACTGGGCAGAAGACGGTTGAAATCCGTGGCTCGGCCACGGAAGTGGGCCGTACTGTGGCGATAGCGCTTTCTGGTAGCAAGACTTTGCTTGGCGAAGTCCGCTTGGAGAGCTGCCAGCTGGTAGCCGTGAAGAATGCAGCGGGGCAGCTTGAGGATGTGGTTGGCAGTGAGCATACCCTCGCAAGTTTGAAAGCTCAGCATCGGATTGAAAATCCGATGGAGTCTGTTTCCTACAACAAGGTGTATGCATGGTTTGTCTCCTCTCCCTTGCGGTACTTGGTTCCGGTGGCTTACTCACACCCAACAGGGGCCCAGCTTTGGGTGAAACTGTCCGGAAAAGAGCAGGAACCCAAGTCAAAGGCTCTACCAAAGTCAAAGGCCAAACCAAAGCGGAAAACCCGCAAAGCGTAAGACTTGTGACCGGACCAGAAAAAAGAAAAGGAGCGCTGGAGTGAGTTTCAGCTTGCAATTTGCATTGTCCACTGCAACGGGCACAAGTTTTTGCGCGCGCGTGAGTTTTTGGT